TTCCTTTGGCAAAATTTGCAAGAGTTGCTAGTACATGGTCTTCGTGATAGGCTATCGGCGTTGACATCTTCCTCACACTCCACTTATCCATCTTACCACGGTCAGAAGCTCCTTTCGCGTGACACAATATTTTTTTCTTTCCGAATTTTCCTGGGATTTACTGAATGGGGTAATTTTTCAACATTTCTTGTAGCAGGGAGCTTGGTGCTGCTTTGCGAAAGCAAGACTTCGCGTTGGTTGGCAAATAGGTGTGGCCTGGTGTTGATGCAATGTATTACCAGATTGGCTCGCCTAGTATTGTTTTCTTACACAAAGACATCAACTTCCTTTTTCACTTAATCAGGATTTCTTCTTTTCTTGTAGACCGCTAAAGTTGATTTATCTTCAAAGCTGATAAACTAACTCCAGCCGAAACAAGCTACTTTTTTTCGCATCTCATTACTCGGAAAGCTGGTGTGCATACACCGATGATCCCTTCTTTCTTCTACTTCATCCGATTTGTCGATAGATTGGTTAACCTCATTGGAATAACATTGGTGGTTTTGACTAAACAGTATACCACAAGAGTTCCATTCTGTCTGTCTTGGGTTGGATCCACTATCATGGTGGTCCCGTTACTTAGAACTCTTGTATCTTCGTTGACAAACATTCTAACTTGACAGTCCTTATTTGAGCGAGAAGAATATTTATTCATTGCTCACTGTCAACATTCTATCTCCAAAGTCGATCATCTACTATGTCGGCAACTATTATTTCTATGTTCTAGTCTCTCCAAAAATCATTTATCAAATCTCCTTTAGCCTTCAGTTCCTAGTAGCAGTTAATTTTGCAACAACATCATGGAGCCCTAAGAAAAGCTTGTCGGGACGTATCACTGATCTCGATGCCTCTGGTGTCGATGGTTAAATTACATGACATGCCGTTAAGAGTGCCTATCTCTTACTCTCCATCAATCAAGTACGGACGTTTATTTGTCCAATGAAGTCTTTTGGAGCTTGCGCATATGTCAACGTAACCTTTCTCTCGATTTCACTTCTGAATTTCTGCACTATCTCTGATGGACCTTGCAGAGTAATACCGGTACCAATGCAGTTGCTGTATGCTGTCTATTCCATCCATTTGCACTAGTAGTGAGTTAACATGTGTGGTTTATACATGGACTTGGATGGTTCGCCAACGAAAGTTAGGGGTTTGATTTGGCCGCGTACGATAGGGCTAATCGACACATTAATTTTGCTGCCGCTACCTTTGTTGATGGTTACATCAAGAATTTTCTCTCTTCTTCTTCAGCTTGCTATATGTATTTCTTATCGAATTTCTCGGGGAGCGTCCCTATTTCGTCCTTGACCATTGCTATTTCTTATTTGAATTTTCCTCCGACTTCTTGCCGAATGCTCTCGAAGAATTTGACGATACTCTTCCAAAATAATTCATCTTCATCCAAGACAATAACACAAAAATCACGACGACAAAACTAGCACTATTACAACAGTTCCTTTAACTACTATCAAGTTTAACTAGTCACAGATACAAACGATTTCCCGTTTTTGTTCTTCTTTTTAGTTTTTATGAGAACTTGGCCGATAAAGTCCAAATGGTAACCAAAAATTAAAAACAAAATAAACATTCCTAAAAGTGGCTAAGACAATAAGTATGTAGTAAAAAAGAGCATTAATTGGTTTCCATTTTTTTACTGGGACGGACATAACATTTTGAAATACTTGGTAGTGTGTAAGTCCCGGACAGTCAATTATTTCGAAAATGGAGCACAATATAAAAAAAAAATCTGTATAAAAGTTGTAGGTCTGAATAAAATCTATTGGAATAGGACTTTTTCAATTATAGAGGGTGGCCCAAAAAGTTGTGCTACACAAAATTTTTTTTTAGTTACATTTTCTTATTCCGCTAGAGATACTCAACCATTATAAAATATGTCATATGGCTAAACCCATTAGTTTCAGAAATAATTTGAGCTAGGAGGACATAATAACAAGCTGGTACTAGAATTTTTTGAGTCACTGTCAACCTCACTTAGTGCGGTCGTACACCAATGAAATATCAAACATACAACGAGCGACATGAAGTAAATACTGTAGATAGACTTGTGCTGCATATATCCATTGTAAAAACGTACAATGTTTCGGGATCATCGCACACTGGTGCAGTACACGCGTTTGCTGCATCGGTGTGCGATGATCCCGAGAACATTTTCAGAATGGATATACATATGCAGCACAATTCTATCTACGGTATTTACTTCATGTCGCACGTTGCATGTTGCATGTTTGATGTTTCACTGATAAGTGAGGTTAGATTTGCTTGTCACGTATTCTAGAGTAAAGAATCCGAACGACCCGGAACTGTTGGAGCAAAAAAAATTCAAATGATTTTGAATTTGGGTACCCAGGTAAATATTTTGTTTATTTTGTTATTTTAAGCTATTAATGAAAAAACAAAAATGCATTACTATCGGTAAAAAGGTCATGCAGTGAATTTTTTCCCCCCGAGTTGGATCTTTTAGAGTGAGCTTCGTTTACCTGTTACTCTATAGTAGGCAATGCCCAAACAGCCGAACCGCCTACTGCGGAGTACTTAGAGTGCACGGAGTGAGCAAACTGAACTCAACTGTCTATTCCCCGGTTTCGAGAATGGACATCCAGAAAAATACCCTCGCTCTACGGCAAAGTTTCATACGAGCTCGTGATTGTTTCATGTGCTGATCAAGAAAATTTAACGATTCTGTTCAACGTGGAAAATGCGCCTTTGAATTTAGACCAAGCTAATTCGCTACATGGCAACACCATCAGAAAGCGTAATTATTTCTGAATAGCTCTTCCCCGCGGTTTTACCCGCCATGTAATTTGAAAGAAATAGGATTATTGTAATTTTTGAAAGATTTTTTAGTTGTGAGCTTCGGACGGAAGTTCTGTTAAATCCGTTCTTAGTGGGGATCTAGGTCGAGAATAGAGTATATCGGGTGTTTTTCAAAACCCGCTCACCCCTATAACTTTTTTATTTATTTTTTTTATCCTCCGAAATCGTGGAGCACACCCTGGAACCGCTGTCGCATTGTTTCAGAGTGCCTCGCGTTGTTATGTTTTCTTAATCCTGGATGTCTATTCTCGAAACCGGAACCGGGGAATAGACAGTTGAGTTCAGCTTGCTCACTCCGTGCACTCTAAGTACGCCGCAGTAGGCGTTTCGGCTGTTTGGGCATGGCTTACTATAGAGTAACGGGTAAACTCACTCTAAAACTTCCAACTCGGGGGGAACAGATTCACTCACGACCTTTTTACCGATAGTAATGCCTTTTTGTTTTTTTTATTGATACTTAAAATAACAAAATAAACACAATATTTATCTGAAGCGGGTACCTAAATTCAAAATTATTTGATTTTTTTTTGCTCCAACAGTTCCGGGTCGTTCGGATTCTTCACTCTAGAACACGTGACAAGCAAATCTAACCTCACTTATTAGTGCGGTCGTACACAAGAATCGTAAACTCTACAGGATTGCTCAATCGGCTAAATTTGTTCACAATTGCTGTGACGTCACGCGCATGCCGGATTTTCAAGATGGCCGCTGATGCGAATGATGTTTAGTTTGTGCTGACAACTATTTTATCGTAAATTCGGATTTATCTAGTGTTATAAGTGTAAATTTAAAGTTTCATTTAATGTGTGTAAGCATAAAAGACTCGTGGCTGAAAATACTCGCGAAAACCCCAAGCATTTTCTGGTTTTATAATACTGGATTTGTTGTATCAGGACATCGCTCTTTTATTTGTGGTGTATTGCTAGTTAGTATTTCCTAGTCAAGCATTTGTTTTGCTTTTTTTATAAATCAAATATCTACTTAGTTGTAAGTTTCCTTTGCATGTAATTACTAATAAAAATTAGGTTTGTGAAGAGTGAATAAATAAATATGTAAATAAATTCCTTTACTGGCGCGTTTACTATGAAAACGCATGGAAAATATGGGAAACTTGCAATGTTTTTCTGGAATATGATTATGAGAATCTAAATTAGGTATCACTACTTGGCTTTGTGAAATAAGCTCACTTTGAATGTCCATATTAAATCGTTCTAGTACCTATTAAATTAATGAATAATAATTGAGAAGTACCTAGGTAGGGTCAGTAAAAAATAAAGCACACTATTGCAACCCCGTTTCGCTTATATTTTGATATTGAAATGCAAAAATTAAACCGGCTCGGCACTCCACATTTGGTTTTCTACTGTTTCTCAACTGTAGTCAATTGTACCCGTTTTGTGCTCAATTGTGCCAGTATTTATGCGAATTGTGCTCATTTTCATACACAAAAAAACATTGAAACGAATCCGGGGGCCAGCTTGACTCCAGCCCTTCGTTTTTTTGACTTTTTGGCAATATGTTTGGCTAATTGATAAACAAAAGCAAACAAACTCGTCTTTCTATTTAGCAATTAGCCAACCACTCAAGCCTCAAGGACACAAGCTTTTGAAGTCTGCTAATTTTAAAATCAATAAATTAATTACAAAATACAGTTTTCAAAGGAAATAACCTCAAAATAACAATTTTTCACGTTTGAAAATGCAAGATAGTGCACTGTCATAAAAAACACAAACCGATCAAGGACTGCGTGACGTCATTCGCATACCGCCATCTTCGATGTTTTTATGAACGTTTGTCTTATGGGATTGAGCAATCCTGTAGAGTTTACGATTCTTGGGTCGTACACCAATGAAATATCAAACATGCAACTTCGAAATAAACGCTTTCTACAAAGATTCGAACAAAGAAAAGCACATTAGAGGCATCCTAAGAAGCGAAATGCTCAAAATTATTTCTCTATCCAATGTATAGTAATATTAGATGAACCAAATTATATTAAGGGCTATAGGTACGAGTTGTTTTGCGGCGCCAAAGCAAATAAAAGTACACAGTGTACAGTACACACAGAAATCAATAGAGAACTAGCTTGGGGGTACAACGAGGCAACGATGCCCTAGTGATGAGATATGAATGATCCTGATGGCAAAAACCGTTGGGACAGTCCCTGTTTTACCCCAGAGTCGATTCTAGACCCCACTCCGATTTTTTTGAGCCTTTTCAAAAAGGCTCCTCCAAAACCGAATCAGGCAACAGAAAATCCACCACTGAGCTCAACGAATTTTTTGTACGACTTGGACAGTATGACTGAAACTGTCACAGATGAGCTTATAAAAGCTAAAAAGAGCGGATAGGAGGAATTTGAAATTTCCGGAAGCAACGTTGCTATTAATATTTCTGTGATAACCGTGCCTCAATTGATGCAGTTGAGGAGGCAGTATTTGATTTACTCTAAAATGAACAGTCCAGATTTAGATAAGGTTCCTGAGTTGTTTGAACAGTACTTAAGGTCACTTAAGGACAAGTTTAGAATAAGGATTTTTTTATTTGATTGTTGTTTATTATAGGCTCTTGAAGATTTTTTTTTTTCTAAATAGAATAAAATAATGAAGAAAACTCAAGAGCGTCAAAAAAATTCATCCTAAATGTTGTCTTTCAATTTCTCATATTTAAACTCAATTATCTATGTATTCCAGGCGCCTTATTTTTTATGTTTAGGTATACATAAATTTCTGGCAGAAGAGGCAAATTGAAAAGCCACCATCTTGAACTACTTACACATACACTTTTTTTCATTTGCTAGGAAGGATTATATATTATAAAACAATAATAAAAAAGGAATACATAGTTTTCAAATAATAAGGTATTTTGTACGATCCAATCTCAAAAGTTGTAGCCATTTCACTGATTTTTGTTGCTAAATTCGAGACATTGCTTGATAAACAATCTAAAAATAAAATTCTAGAAAACACAAGACAATTTTTCCAAATACTCAAGTATACCTGACTTGCTCTGAAAGATCAGGTTCCGAATACAACAACATATGGCCCTTTCCTTCGGGAGGATACAAATGAAAAGTAACATTGCCTTGATATGTAGAATTTCTCTTATTAATTGCAGTGTCGTATAACTAAAAAATCAGATTATTTTTGCATTACACAATATTAGAATTTACCTCTGTAGCCATTTTGAAAGGTATAATCTCATCATCTTCAGCGTGTAATATCATAATAGGGCAATCTACGTCTTTAATATAGCTTTTAGAATCAAAATTCATATCGTTATTTTTGATAGGATTCAATATTGTGGCTTGTCTCCATGGAATAATTGAATAAAACTATTACAAAAAAAGTTTTTATAAATTCATTAAAAAAATGAGTTTTACTTCTACCTTGACTACAGGATGGGTTTTCATAACATCAATCACAGATGTAAATGGTGCCTCTAAAACTAAACCAATAGCATTGATATGTTCTTTTTTGAGCTCTGCAATTAAATGGGTAGCTATTCCAGCACCCAATGAATGCCCCCAAACAAAAATTTTCGATTTGCTTCTCTCCTGTATCCATTTAAAAATACATTTCATATCATTTACCATGTTGGTTTCTGTGAGGTTGCTTCCTGTAGAATCCCCATAGCCTCTATAATCAATGGCAAATATATGGAAAAATTCCCTTAAAATTTTATATAACTTTATGAATTTGGTTCGGTCAGACCGATTATCATGTAGGTACAATAAAATTTTGTGTTTTTCATTGGACAAAACACCATCGAAATTATATTCGTCGTCTTTCATTTTATCACTAACAATTTCTTGAGGCAAAATTTGCCACAATCCCAATGTTACATTTTCAGTATTACCATCATTAGGGACATCAATATACATATTTCTTACTCCTGTTATACGATAGTCGTCCGTAATTAAATGGTTTATCGGTCCTATTTTATCTAAATAAAATATTTTTATTTTAAATGTTTTTTTCTAATAATAGAAAAAAAACTTACTTGCTGGAAAAACAAGACTTTTCTGAATCCCCACACTAGACATAAATATAATTGGCGCGATAATAAACACCGAGAGACCAACTAAAAACACCAGAACAGCTCTGAAAGCAAAAATTTTGCTTCATTAGTGCATCAAAATTTTTGTCAAAAGTCGCAATATTTCCAGATAACGAGATACAAAATCCAGTTGAAAATTCAATTACTTACGTTATCACAGTGCCGACAACACAACACTTGTCCGAACACATGATGAAGTACTTTTGGCACAACCTGAAAAGAAAATTAATACCTACATTTTGATTGCTGATTTAAAAAAATTTTAAGCTATATAGGTATACCTATAAACGATATCTTTGAATTAAATATAAAGGGCAAAATAGGAAGTTTTGTCGATGACACTTTTTGTTCGACAAATCTTTGGGATGGAAAAAACGATTTAGAAAAATTACAAGAATGATTTAATCACAATAAACTCGATATTTAAAAAAAAAAACATTTTCTTTCATTCTCCTCATACAATTTGGAACACCGAGCATAAATAATTAACAAATATCAGACTCTCAAATTATAACAGCTAGGTACTGAATCTGTAAAGTATTTGGTAATCGAAATTGATAACAACTTGCGATGGAATCTGCAAATAAAAAATCTAACAAACAAATTGAGAGACTTGGTGTCGTGGTTCAAATGTCTCAGAATGCACCTCAAATAATCAGATCTAAGAACGTTATATTATGCTTTAGTGCAATCTCTTCCTTCGACGTACGGTATATGTAGATGGGAAGGAGAAAATAATTTCAATATTGCTAAAATAAAAATAATACAGAAGTGGATGATTAAAGAATGTGAATGTTTTGATGTAAGACAACTGTTTTGTCGAAAAATGGCGTTAAGGATTTTTAAAAGAAAGGAAATCATTGAATTTTCAAACCACCCACATAACACAAGAATTGTTGCAAACCGAAAGAAATGGTATACAGAATCCATGCCTAAAATTCCAGAAAAGACTGCTTTATTCGGGCAAAAAGATTATCGCGTTTATTCTGGATTACACAAGAATGGATTACGGATATATGAAGGCCGATATTAATTAGTGGTTTTTAAGTTTAAGATTGACTGGGATACGACTTAAATAATGGTTATTGTTGAGAGATGTAAACAGTTTAGTTGTTGAGTTAATTAGTTAAGTAATTAGTGTCAGAGTGTATAGTAATAACATGAAATAAATTATTGTTGTGTTAAATGGAATTTTATTTTGGAGTAAACGCATACCCAAACTTACCCAAGATTTCTGTCACGAACCCCAGAGCCGTGACATTGGTATGAGAAGTGGGATATAATTCGAGGACTGCAAAGTGAAATCCGATTGAAGAATAGTGCGGATACTAGTGTATGGACACTTACTGAACACTGAGACAGTGAGTTAGTGTAAGCAGTGACAATCCCCAAAAGAGACTTAACCGATCGTGTAAATTACCCCGGAAATGACTTTATACCTGATTTTGACTGTGATAGTGAATTTTCAAGTAAGTTCTGGAAAATTCTATTTGGAAACCAAGGGATATATCAAATTTCTGACTTCGTCGACGTATTCGATACATCAATCGTCATTCAGAAAAAGAATTTCGAGGAATTTTGGGAAAATTTTAGAACATTCTATTTGGAAACCAATGGATATATTGAATTTGTGACTTCACCGACGTGTTTGCTATATCAATCGACATTCAGAAAAGACATTTCAAGAAAATTCTAGAACATTCTTTTCGAGAATAAAGCAAGTTATTGGAACTTCAAGAGACCAAACGACAACAAGAAAAACAGGACGCAGAGGCTAGGCGACAAAAAGAAAAACAAGAAAAAGAAGCAAGACGACAACAAGAAGAGGCTAAACGACAACAAGAAAAACAAGACGAAGAGGCCAGACGACAAAAAGAAAAACAACAAGAAGAAGCTAAACGACAATAAGAAAAACAAGACAAAGAGGCCAGGCGACAAAAAGAACGGCAACTACAGAAAATATTTCAAACCATACACGGATTTGTCGCTAACCTAGAACAAAAGATTAGGGAAGTAAAAGCCGAAGTTAAAGACGATGTTCGAGAAGTTAAAGACGATGTTCGAGAAGTTGAAGACGATGTTCGAGAAGTTAAAAACGACGTAAAAGCTGAGGTCAAAGCCGATGTTCAGCAATCAAGACAAGAAGTTGAAAACCATAAGTTCAAGCATTTGAAGATAAGGTGAATAAATTAGAAATACAGTTCATCAATCCAGTTAGTGTTGGAGCATTCTCTAGTATGAAGATAAAACCACCAACTTTTGACGGCTCTACGTCCTGGACCATGTATATTCGACAATTTGAAGCTGCTGATCAACGATCAAGAAAAAGCAACAACACTGATAGTGGCGCTACGAGGACCTGCCTTAGATCTTCTTCAATCCATTTCCTCAATCTACCAACAGAATTACCAGCATCTAACTCAGACATTAGAATTGCGCTTTGGAGACCATTACAGACAAGAAGTATTTAGAACTCAAGTTAAATCAAGAATTCAAAAACCCGTCGAGAGTTTACAAGAATTCGAATTGGAAGTTAAAAGGCTAGTGAGTTTGGCGTCTCCTGCATGGGGAAGACATGCAGGAATGGATGGCAGTATCTGGGTTTATTGATGGTCTCAGAGATTCCAAGATCCAGGAAAACCTGAGAATGTCTTAGCTGGGACAAAGTAGCCCTTGTCCGAGCAACTGGAGCGAACTGGAAGCAATCTTTGGTGCCTCACGAACCACAATGCAAGCAGTGTCCATTGAAGACCCGAAGGATAAACAATCGTTGAAAGAGGATGGTAGCTTTGAGAATGTTATGAGTAATTTCATGGAGAAAATGGAGAAACTATTACTAGAAGGTAGAAAAATGGGAAACGAGTCCAGACAAACACCAACACCGAGAAAACGAATAGAATGTTATCGGTGTTATGAGCTTGGACATATGTAATGGGATTGTAGAGTAAGGATGTCCTCTCCATCTAGGGATCGTTTCCAACGTTTTTCAAGATCTAGAGACGCCAGCCCTAATAACAGACAGGAAACAACCATTACCGAGGGGCGAATGCTGGTTAATAATGACGAAGCCCCCAGGGTTGTTTATATAAAATCATTGGGCAGTCATTATAGAGGATTAAAATTCGAAGGACAAATTATTGGAGAATTCAAAACCATCACTTATGATACGGGTGCTGAAGTTTCTATAATTAGAAAAACATTAGTCAAGTCTCGGGCAATCCAACCACTCACTAGAAACCTGTCACTACGAACAGTCACGGGCGAATCGGCACCAGTTCAAGGAGAAGCTGTGGTTGAGCTTACTTTTGGATATACCACCTTTAGGCGCAGAAAATTAGTTGCCGCTATAGAGAATGATTTTATTTTGAGAATGGAGTTGATCGGCCAACATGGTTTCTCTTTTGATCCTTCTATGAACATCCTTAAATTTGGTATCGAAGAATTTATCCTAACTACACAAGAAGAATCCCAAGCCGTTAAAATCCTGGCCACAAACCCAGTGAGGATTCCTGGAAGTACTGAGAAGATCATTTGCGGAAAATTAGAAACAAACCCTGGGTGCTGCGTTGGACTAACACATAATTTTATTAAAGATAAACCAGAAAAATTTCTCGTTGGAAAGACTCTAGTAAGAACAAATGGAGACATTAGGATAAGAATTGCCAATGTTTCTTCTGAAACAGTGGAAATAGAAGAAGGAGATATTATTGAATCTCTTGAACCAGTTAAGCAAATATGGAACTGTGACCTCCCAGATAAGCGACATTTCGTGAAACCGAAATTGGATACAGACACATTGATGCAGACTTTGAAGAAATCATGGAAACACCTCGATCCAGATAGACTTCAAGATGCCACAGATTTCATCTTGAAAAATGCAGACGTATTTGTGATGGCTAATCAAACTGGACGGACCAGTTTAATTCAATACAAAATTGCAACTGGATTGGTACACGCAATGAGATAACCACCTCGACGTATACCAGTAGCTAAACAACAGGAAGTGAAAAACCAAATTGATGAAATGCTTCAAGAGGGAATTATTGAAGAGTCGAATAGTCCATGGTCTGCGCCAGTAGTATTGGTGACAAAGAAAGATGGAAGTCTTGGATTTTGTGTGGACTATCGTAAGCTTAATGACGTCACCAAGAAGGACAGCTCCTCTCTCCCGAGGATAGGTGATACATTAGCAACTCTATCGGGCTCCAAATGGTTTTCCACCTTGGATCTTAAGAGTGGATACTGGCAAGTGGCAATACACAAAGATGACACAGAGAAAATTGCCTTCAGTACCGGAAGCGGGTTATACCAGTTTGACGTGATGCCTTTCGGATGGTTTAATGCTCCTGCTACGTTTGAGCGACTGATGCATCTTGTTTTGCGAGGCCTTACATGGAGAACTTGCCTGGTATATTTAGATGATGTCATGATCATGGAAAATTCGTTGCAAGAACATCTCAATAACCTGAAAGAAGTTTTTGACCGCTTCCGGAAAGCCAACTTAAGGCTCGCTTTCCTCGGATCCGGGACGGAGACGGGACAGGTGCCACAGACGTTGCCGTCATTAAAATATATAGATGTTCTTTCCTACGCAGCGATGGCGCGAGGGCGGCGGAGCACAGTTTTTTTGACGCTAGCGTTTGACCGCCGAGTAGAGACCAGCTTGTGTGTCTGGAATTTCACACTGCTTTAACCTTTATTTCAAAACAATTTAAAACTATCATCGCAACCATCAGAACGCCTCCGGAACTAAACCCTCGAGTGAGAGGAATACGTCCGACGAAGACGACGAAAATGCATCTTTGGCCTCGTTTGTGTACGACAGCTCCACTGTTTTCACACTAAAGGAGAAAATAAAAAGCATGAAACCTAAACTAAGCATTTTCCATGGCAAGTGTAGTCAGTGCCATTCATCTGGCAAGGAATTGCGAGAAATGACGGACAGCATAAACCCGCAACCGTGCAACATAACGACCATCAATTATGCCATCATGCACCTTGAGACCGCCCACAAACTCAAACAAAAAACGTCCAAAAAGCCAAAACCCAGCTCAAGGACACCTATCAAAGCGCATTCCGATGCGCAAAAACGGCTCAACAAAAAACGTCGCAACAGCAACAACAATTTTCGGAATAAATACAGCAGCAGCAAAAATTAATACAAACATTTCAACAATAAATCCGGCAGCTACTGACGACTGGTTCAAAGTTCC